TTATAGGCGACAGCGTGATCACAGGAAAAAATGTTTCAATTATTAGATTATTGTGATAGTTGTGGAACGTGACATTGAAATCTTAAAGCAAAAACGTTTTTAACGTACGTATATATATATATGTATATTCATCACTTCATGTGTAAAAAAATGAGTAAAAAAACTTTAAGATGAAAATAAAATTCATAATATAGAAAAGTTATATGGTAGTAGCGATTTAACCCAAAATAGAATTTAGGAAAGTAGAAAAAAGAAAGACAAGTATACGAATATATATATATGTATATAAACTTAAAAAATATATAATGAAAGTTGAAAGATAAAACTGAGGTGCAAAGAAAAGTTACTTTTCTATCCAAGCTAGAGATAAAAAAAAAACCTGAATGATACAGATCGTCCGTAAATTAAGAACTGAGCAGTATCTAGAGACACTAACAAAACGAAGAGACACAACCAAACTCCAAATTAGTCTGTTTAGGCTTTAAAGAAGAAGCTTAACCAACTGTTATCGTCCGTCTAACAACAAATGACATCTGAAGAAAGTAATTCACTCTAAAATAGCACATCGAAATGTGATCGTCATTTCCTTCTAAACCATAGCAGGGGAGTTATGGGAATAAATAGCCACAGTATCCTAGCAACAAATAAACATTAAGTGAACTGCTTTTGCTCTCGTTGCCAGCTCAGTAAATGAAGTATTCGCTGAACTCAACATTACACATCGGGAGCGTCATGGATTGAAACAACTGATTGTCTTAACTAAAGATTACCAATATACATATATATCTTAATAACCGACAGAGAAAAAACGAACACGGAGACTTTTTCCGCATTAGATCCCAATAGCTTAATAAATCGGCCACGAAATCTTGGATGTCAAAAATCCAAGTTTATTGATTTTACTTTCAAACACCATGTAAGCCTAATAATCACCGGTGCAGGTTCCAGTACATCTCGGTCTCATTTTTTTTTTTCACTTTTTTCGTGAATTTTCAGACAGCAAATATATTGTGCGAAGGGATCTTTTCTGTTTCATGCACCACGTTGAATAGAAAAGAATGTATTTTTTACTGTTGATTTCAGAAATACAAATGAAAATTTAGAAAAATGAAAAAAAAGTATATTTTTTATTTTGCTTACAAAACCAATGAAGTACTTTTAGCATTACATATAAACCTATGTATTCAAAAGAAATTGCAAGACATCAAGACAATACAATGTATTTAGTGTCAATGTAACAAATTCAATGTGAAAATTCAGAAATATTCTTAAATATTTGCTTGAAGAGAAAATCATTCATGGCCAGGTGGATAAGGCGCTCGACTCGGAATCTGAGGGTCGCGGGTTCGAATCTCCGTCCCACCAAACATGCTCGCCCTTTCAGCCGTGGGGGTGTTATAATGTGACGGTCAATCCCACTATTCGTTGGTAAAAGAGTAGCCCAAGAGTTGTCGGTGGATGGTGATGACTAGCTGCTTTCTCTCTAGTCTTACACTGCTAAATTAGGGACGGCTAGCGCAGATAGCCCTAGTGTAGCTTTGCGCGAAATTCAAAACAACAGATAATCATTTTCATGCCTACGACGCCAAACGAATTCGCAGAGATACGAGTCAATCATGGTACGATTCGTTTCACAATGTCGCTTATTACGTCTCTTAACCACATTCCAAGTACTTTCAACTTGCTGCAGATTTCAGAACTATATATATTAATTTGTAGAATTTATTTTAAAAGTGTAAGAAATGGGAAAGTATTTTCAATTTTCAAAGAATTTTCTTAAATGAAACTTAATTTTTATTTAAATAAACGTGTAATTATTTACTAATTAGTCTAACTTGATCTTCACATAAACTGACCTAACCTAGCAAAATGAAAAATATAAAAAGTATTTATTTTCATTTCTCCAAATTTTAATTTATTTTTCTGAAATCAGCATTAAAAACTACATTCAAAAATATATAGTCTACTCTCTTTGAACGCAGTGCATGAAACAGAAAAGATCCGTGCAAAGTTTTACATTAATCCAAAATGTAATCTTAAATTATTGCACTAAAAGTGGTTTAGTTTGATTTGTTTTGAATTTCGCGCAAAGCTAAACGAGGATTATCTGCGCTACCCGTCCCTAATTTAGCAGTGAGAGACTAGAGGAAGGCAGCTAGTCATCACCACCCACCAACAACTTTTGGGCTACTCTTTTACCACCGAATAGTGGGATTGACTGTATCATTATAACGCCCCCACGGCTGAAAGGGCGAGCATGTTTGTTGGGACTGGGATTCGAAGCACTGAAAGTGAGTAGGTAGGTATAACTTCTTCATACAATAAGTAAATCTCCCGTTTACTTACTTTTAAATGAATTAAAATATGAATTACTTCAGAACTTTGAAATATTTCAGTTCTGTAACAAATGGAAAGTTTTATGTTTTAAATAATTAGAAAAAAAATTGTGACATGACATTACAAATAAAACGTAATATTTGAAATATCGACGAGGGATACGCTGTAATAATGACTTTGAATAGGAAAATTTGTTTCTGATTCCTTTTTCCTGTTACGTATTTCAAAATACAAAAATGCAAGTAAATAAGAACCTTTATCGAAATTCAAGAAAAAAAAAATATTGTGTATAAACATCAGATAGATATACTTATTTTTACGGATTACTCTTTTTCTATACCTACTAATACAATAAGTAAACAAGAGGGAATCTTCAATAGCCGCGGCACTTGAAATTCTTTTAGGCATGATTAGAGTAAATTAATCTATAAGGCCTTTATTTACCTTTTTATTAGCTATATTTTTGTGCGCCAGCAGCACCAAGTGTGGGGCGCGTGCATACCCGATTCGAATTTAATACTCATCAGGATCTCTACTCGTCTACCCTCAAATTGAAACTATTTTAAGCAGGATTAGAGAAAATAATGTATGATATCTTGGGTGTAGTAAAATACGTCAATCAAAAGGGGTTGACCTCCTTAGTCCAAAACTGTAATTAGATCTAAAATCGGTCAAGAAATGACGAAGTTACGAGCTAAAAGTTTGTACTTGAAAAAAGAAAAGAAGAAAACTCAGAGCTGTTCTATGAGCAGCTATGCCACTGCTAAAAAAAAAAGAAAAAAGAACAAAAAAGGTTGCTTTTCTGGCTACATTTTGGTAAATAAAATAGGTACAAGATAGCTTGCCTGTTGCACTAATAATGTTTAATTAATAATGAATGACTGCTCCTCATCTGTTATTGAATTAGGTATTCAGTAATGTTTTGAAAGAGCGTTTGCATGTGAAACGAGTTATGTTGTACTGAGAATGTCAAGTCCAAGACAAACTGAATCCTAGTTATCTTTAAGGCTTAAAAGACCTAAAACTAGATAAATAAATTATTTTAAAAGTTAGAATTACATTTAGTCCAAACTGTGAAGTTTCCGTTAACTTGGAAAATTAATAAATAAGATTATAGTTTTCTCGAAAATGTTTAATTCACAATGATCTTTGTTTAAATAAGCAATTAAAACACTATAGTGAAGTGTCATAATGAGATTTATGCGAAATTAATCGAATCTGTAAACATACAAATAGATAACGTATAGATCCATGTGTTGTTGGATTGTTATAAATCTGTAAACAAACAGTTGAACATGTATAGATGTATGTTTCGGGCATTGTTATGAATATGTAAACATACAAATGAACATGTATAGATTTAAGTGTTGTTGCATTGTTATGAACCTGTAAACATACAATTGAACATGTATAAATGTAAATGTTGTTGCACTGTTATAAATCTGTAAACATACAGTTGAACATATATATATATATATATGTTTCGGGCATTATTATGAACCTGCAAACATACAGGTAGATGTGTTGTTTCATTTTTATAAATCTGTATACATAGAACTTAAATACAAACAACTGATTAAATTGTTATTTACTCACACCATACACGCACGCACACTAATGATGAAATACTAATTATTATTTACTCACACCATACACGCACGCACACTAATGATGAAATACTAATTCCAAATAAAATACGTATTATTGTACCTGAAGACTTTCGAAACGTCGTCCTCCACTTTTGTGTTTCTACAACAGGCAGTTCCGTCCATTCAACAAAGTTTCAAAATGTGTATTTTATGAACAGTATTCCATTTCGTTTTTGTTTTTTTTCCACTTATTGTGGTTGTATCTTTCATGACCTCGTGTGATTTATAACAGATTAGTTTAACTGTCTACTTAACTCAAACAAACTGTTATATTTCACTAGAATTTTACAAGAAACATTTAAGACAGGGAATTATCTAGTATAATTGAATTTAAATGGCGAATATTACTTCTCTGTTTATTATTTAGAAGTTAGAAAAATTATATCATTTTCAACTTAGGTAAAAAAAAAATTACAACAAACTTAACTACATCGTGAACTCTTTACGTATTTGAAATCAGCTGTATAATTATTTTCCACTCTTATCATTTCTGCTTGTCTGCTGGTTTAGAAACAAAACAAGACTAGCCCAAGAGATGGCGGTGGGTGGTGATGACTAGCTGCCTTCCCTCTAGTCTTACATTGCTAAATTAGGGACGGCTAGCGCAGATAGCCCTCGAGTAGCTTTGCTCGAAATTCAAAAGATACAAACAGAAACAAAACAAGAGAAGTCATCTCGTTTTGTGCAGAGATCATCTCGAGTATACTGTACTTACTTTCACACGAAAGACTGAAAGCCTCATTACACAACTGCCAATTGCGAGATAAAAAACATCATAGCTAGATAAGAGCTAAAAAGTTGATTGATCAAAACATATAAATGTGTTAAAGTTATCTTCCTACGAATCTCCGTCAGTTTATCTGCTTCTCGCTGTTATAAAAAGGGTTAAGTTTGAAACTGAGAAAAGGTAATTTAGTCTTATACAACCATTTCAAATGATTAATTCAGTATTTTTAAATCATTTCAGGTAGTACTGGCATATAGTTTTATGTTTTAAGTAAAAGAAAACCTTACCTTTATTAGGTCATGCATTAGAGAGTAACGAAACGTCCAATCCAACTGTATCTGGTCATTTTCCAGTATATCCTACAACAAGTAATAAATAAATAGATAAAATTGGAAAGCTATATATTTAAATACTCTAGTAGTATCCAAGCATGTGTTAAAAACTGGATTGTTACTTATAGTAATTTCTATCAGGGATTGATCTAAAGCAGAGTGTTGATTCATCACAGAAACACTTCTTTAAAACAAATACTTAATCCACTGTCTCAATGCGAGAACTAATGGATTATTGAGCAAAAATAGGAAGATTTTTCATCTTGATCCACTCTCTGAATGCAAGAATTAAAATAATTAGCTTTTTCAACTTAATTCACTATATAAATGCTAGAAGTAAGAATTACTGCGCGAAAATAGTGAGGTTTTTCAACTTAATTCATTCTTTGAGTGCAATAACTAACGGATTATTTCGCAAAAATAATGATCTTTTTCAACTTAATCCACTGTGTGAATGTAAGAACACATGAACTATTTCGGGAAAATAATTTGAACTTTACACTGTTGTGTACATAAAACTTTAACGAATTGCCGCACCTAGTAAGAACTAATACGAAAGGTGTAATTAATAGGGGTGGTGCGATACATCGATACGATACTCGTATCGTATCGTATCGTGAATCCGCGATACGATTGTATCGATACATCGTCTGATACGATACGATTTATGTATCTTCATGAAATTTGGCAAGCTTTCAGTAAACACTATAAGTCTTTTGTACACAAAAAATCAGAACTTCAAGTAAAGTATTTTTGCTAAAAATTAATGTTTTAATACATGGAGTCAAAGAAGTCACTGCTCCGAGTGTGAAGCGATTTTCATGTTAAGATTAAAAATACTTTTCTCCATCTAAAAATTAACAAATTTCTTTTGTGTAATCTCTAAAGCCTCCAAAATGAATTTCTAACCTTTTTTTCGATAAATCTTCGTATTTTATCTGCTTTATTTGCTAACCAAATTTTATGTGAAGTCGGTCAGTTTGACCAGCCTCGTAACCACCATAAAAAATACAAAATAAATAAAAAATTATCATTTTTTTTTCTTCCTATAATTACTTCAAATTGAAGCAGGAAAATGTTATTAATATAGATAATAAGTTACAAACAAGACTGTCAATCTTTGTAACAAACCGTTGGTAAAACATTTGTATCTAGATACGTATCGTATCATCAATATCTAGATATGTATCGTACCAGCCCTACTAATTAATATAGCAAATACATTTTACACACTAACTTAATCAAGAAATTTGATAATAAAATTTTGAAGAGTATGGATTAAAATAGTTATGTATTATTATCAATATTATTATTATCATTATTATCAGGGCCGGCGCTACCATTAGGTCAACTATGCAGCCGCCTAGGGCGCAGACCTGAGAGGGGCGCTTTAGTGACCCTTTAAGGGTCACAGTTTTATACAAATTAGTTGTTTTAAGAAACAACATAATAAAAGGAAAATACAATAGTTGATTGTTCATAATAGTTTATAGTTCATTGTTAGTTCATAACCAGTTTATTGTTTTCAAGGGGTGCAAATAGCTTGCCTTGCCTTGTGCGCAAAATATTCTGGCGCTGGCACTGATTACTATTAATGCCAACGCTTTGCAAAACTAACCTCGTACACAGTTCTTTCAAGTGTGGTATTCATGAAATCCGCCCATTCAATCACTGTAACGCTCTGATCGTAAGCTTCCACCAATCAAAACACCTCAATGGACGCATTCCGAAATTCAACGATGCTAAGCAGCGTAAAACATACCATGAAACCAGGTTTGATTCAACTATTAATGTAAATCTGGACTTTCTTGGTATTTTCATGATGGATTTATTTGCTTTTTTGAATTGTCACGCAAAGCTAGCTGTCCCTACTTTAGCAGGGATAGATTAAAGAGAAGACAGCTAGTCAACACCACCCACCATTGAGCTACTGTTTTACCGACGAAAATTTAGATTGGCCGTCACATTATGACGTCCCCATGGCTGAAAGGGCATGTTCGGTGTGATAGAGATTCGAACCCGAAATTCTGAGTTGAGTGCCCTACCCACTAGGCAAAAGAGAAAATGTTTTCAAAAGAATTGGCACTTGCGCAACGTTGGAAGATAAATGCAATAAAACAAAATTATTGCAAAAACATAGCATTGGAATAGAAACGTTCATTTTACCTAGCGACGTTTCGAGCAAGTGATTTTCGTCAGGCTTAATTTCATTTTCATGTTAAGCCTTAGGAAAACTGGTTGCTCGAATCGTTGCTAGTTAGAATAAATTTGTTCATATTTAAACGTTGTGTTTTTAAGGTGATTTTATTTTAAAATAAAAAAAGTTACAGCATGTTTGGTGGGACGTGGATTCGAACTCGCGACCCGCAGATTGCGAGTCGAGCTCCCTAACCACCTGGCCATGCCGGGCCTTGCTTGCCTTTAATGGTAACATAAAAATGACCCAATATGGTTGTTATAGGTCAGTAAGTTACATTTTTCTTGCTAAAAAAGCTATGCATGTAATTGAATTATCACACAACGTTATTCTATGCTATATTTATCATTGTCTTTGGACAAGTGTGTTTCGCTTGATGGTTTCGCCGTTCACTTATTATTCTGTTTAAAATTCTACTTTTTCTACTAGTTATTCTTCTGCTTTTCTTCCCTTTCTTTATTTCCCCAGACATGATTAAAGGAGGTTATTCTAAGTGCGCCACATTGATTGGCTATATTTTTTTTGTATGTTTTTTCAGGCTTTGAAGACCTGATGGTTACGTCACTCGGCTCATACACTGTGGGTCTCTGGTTCAAATACCGTTACCGAACACGCTCGTGTTTTCAGTCAATGAGGCGTTATAATGTGACGGCCAATCCCACTATTCGTTGGTAAAAGAGCAGCCCAAGAGTTGGCGGTGGGTGGTGATGACTAGCTGCCTTCCCTCTAGTCTTACCCTGCTAAATTAGGGACGGCTAGTGCAGATATGCCCCGTGCAGCTTTGCGCGAAATTCAAACAAACAATTGAAAAATCGATAAATATAATATACACTTTTCATCTATTTTTAGTCATCAAAATACTGACAATACATGATGTGAGTTTATTTCATTTTATAGAAAACCAATAATTTGTTTACGGATTTTATTCATTTTCCACGATTATGTATATCCACGTATATAACAACCCTCTAAACTAAACTAAACTAAAACGATTAATAAATTTAAAAAAATCTTATAGTCAGCCCTTATCATTCATATACTTATCAAGCTTTTTCTTAAACGCACTTAAATTTACTGTCTCCACAACATCCAAAAGCAACCCATTCTTAAACTCTTTGTGAGCCAACCTGGTTTTTTTTACTTGCAGATACCATTTTCTTTCTGCAAGGAACATGTTTATCTTGAATATTTAAAATTTATCTTTAAAAATTTTCCCCATCTGATCAGTGTCTCCAAGTAATTCAGCTATCCAATTCACAACAGATAATTCTAGTAGCACCCCTTCAAAATTTGCTTTTTTTTGAAAATACTAACCAAAATATCATTATTCCTTATCTCCATATGCAATAAAACATCAAACCGAATAGAGCAATGATCATTTGCACCCAGATGTTCCCCAATATCCACCCTGCCTATCATTTTTATATTTGAAGTTAACAATAAATCTAAAATTGCATTATGTATATATGTGTCTTTTCTATTTTCAAAGTCAGATGTTTTGATTAATGAATGACTAATAAATAAGTCAGTGTTGTGAAATTTAGAACTCTTCCCACGTCATAACACTGTAACTGAAAACTCTTCCCACGTCATAACACTGTAACTGAAAACTCTTCCCATGTCATAACTCTGTAATTGAAAACTAGTTTCGAAGCTCTTGTTTCGTATACAGAATGTCGTGTCTGCCTGAAAGGCTAAAACGAAACGAGTATTCATATTTTTCATGTATCAGTATGCATATGATTTTCTTTCCACCTAAAAAAAAAGTAAAAGACCATTTCGTGACGCTAAAATAATGATGTTTTGTCTCATCTCTGCTTAAAGTAATTCAATCACGAAATTGTTATGACATGATGTACGAGGAATGAAGGTTTCATCCAATAAATGCAAGATAAAATCAAGGTTTTATCCAATAAATGTAAGACAAAATCAAGGTTTTATCCAATAAATGTAAGACAAAATCAAGGTTTTATCCAATAAATGTGAGATGTAATGAATGATTCATCCAATAAATGTAATGAAGGTTTTGCAGAAAGTCTTTAAATAACCTTGAGCACATCAACGTTCATTATATTCTCGTGTTGTATTTGACACGAATTAAGTTTATATTTGTGCTATAAAACGAACACGTATTGAGCATTTATACTCATATTTTCTTATTAATTATTGCAATACCTTGTTGACAAATTCAAACAAAACAATTGTTGAGATTACAACTAAATATATCGAAACGTTACTACAATTAGTATTCAGATATCGATTTAGTTAACAATACGATATTATTAACAAAGTAAAAAAAAACAAAATAGTGAAACCCTGAATACCTCGCCATCTATCGCCTATTAACGAAGATAAGTAATGTTGCTCTATTTGCACATATTCTTGTTTCATTGTTATTAGCGAGAATAAGACTTACTGTTAACAATATCATCATGAGTTTTATCAAACTAAAATATTCAATTTAATGCGAGCTTTTGAAACACGAAAAAAATTTATGAACACCATAAACTATATTAAAACAGTAAAAAAGGCTTTAAGAACGTTTCTGTAAATAATATCAAAATAATACTTCTTTCTATATTTCTAAAATTCTTAAAAATTCTTTAATACAAATCTTGGTAATGATCAAAACGTTGTTAATAGGTATCGTCACTGTGGTTGAAGTAAATCATTTAAGTTACTCTAATCTAAAATATTGTTATATTGTAATAAATTCTAGAAAAATTTAAGTCGAGAGGCTTACTATTATAAAATAAAGCTTACAATTTAGTAATATCAATATATTTTGTTGTTGTTGTTTTTTTTTTGTTTTTTTTTTTACCTGCAAACTTCCCTTTGGACAATACTCGGTAATCAGAAAGCACGTAGGAGAATCAACGCATGCGCCGATGAATCTTGCAATATGGTCGTGTTGCAGGCTTTTAATCTGCAAATATAAACGAAAAAATATAAATTTTTACTAGCCACAAGTAGTTATTCCCTATATTTAATGGTAAATTATTATTACGTTTTGTTTTTATCGAACTAAGAAAGAAATTATGGATTTGATACAAAAACCAAAAAAAAAAAAAAAAAAAAAAAACTTGTACGATTGAACTAAAGTTTCCAGTATGGTAGTTCTGGAGATAGAACTTAGATTTAACGTATGCCTTTCATTAACTAGCATTATTTATTATACCTAATCTGTCCTTGTCGCATTTGTATTATTCTATCTACTTGTTCGATAGAATAGTCGCTTGTAAAGTTTAGATATAAGTGCCATCTAGATGTTACTTGAGAGACTATCACGATATTAATGAACGATTATTAATAAAGTTATTCGATGAAAATATTCTTTCAACAGAACTAAATTTAAAAAAATTATGTTTAACATATATATATTATTTAAAGTTTCAATAAAAACCAACAGATGGCGACAAATGAGATAATAGTTAAAACGCTTACAACATGCAAAAAATGTTATAGACAGACAATTCAATTAATTACATTTACACAAATAAACCAGCAAAAATAAATTGACGTTCATATTAATTTCTTAGTTTAAACATACCATTCTGATTTCCAATAAAAACGGTCTGCTAATCTCAATTTTTGTCTTGTTCAGTGGTTTAATTGCAACCAAGGTGGACTGAAAAGGTTGGAATTTCTTTGATCTTTATTTTGTTTAGTTAAAGTAATCCTAACAGTATAATAAGTTACGATTCACCAGTAACAAATTAGAAAGAGAAAGAAATAAAATCAAAATAATAAATAAGAATAAAATAACGAATTAAAAGTTGCACGAAATGAAGAAAAGTTTATCTCATTTGAAAAATTGGAATGTTTTTTACTGGCTAATTTTGTACATTTTTATGTTTAACAATTTAATGCTATTTTGTTTTAATAATATCAGTTTTAAAGTAGTTCAGTATCAATTTAGTATGTATATTTGTTCTGCGTTATTCGTTAAAGAGATAAAGAAATTGGAGAGAACTTCTAATTACAGTGACAAAAATTAACAAATATTTAAAAAGCATCTTACCTTATAATACGCCGTTTTAGTGAAAATCTGTCGACTTGGATCTGCTAAAGTTAACGTTCCGCAAGAAAAGGAATTCTTAAAATTGGTAAAAACAAGAGAGAGAAAAACTGTGTTAAGATTATTTAGGGTTATTTTCAAAACTCTGAAAATAATTATACTTGATACTACAGTAATTAAGCCTTAATTTTACAATTGTGTCACAGAGACCTTTGGTGGCATAGCCGTAAGCATGAGAGCTAACATTCGGGGTTCTATTCTGCAGTGGACACACCACTTTGTGCAGCTTTGTGCTTAACAACAACAAAAGAAACATTTCACAGATTATAAATAAAACATTTTATCACCATAAAATTGGTTTTTTCAAGGATAGAGCAAATAATCGGGGTTCTATTCTGCAGTGGACACACCACTTTGTGCAGCTTTGTGCTTAACAACAACAAAAGAAACATTTCACAGATTATAAATAAAACATTTAATCACCATAAACTTGGTTTTTTTTCAAGAATAGAGCAAACAATCGGGGTTCTATTCTGCAGTGGACACACCACTTTGTGCAGCTTTGTGCTTAACAACAACAAAAGAAACATTTCACAGATTATAAATAAAACATTTAATCACCATAAACTTGGTTTTTTCAAGAATAGAGCAAACAATCGGTGTCAGAAAATCTTACAGTTCGATTCAATAAAATCACATAAAACAGGAGCACTACACTTGCTGTTCGGTCGAAATCAGCAATAACAACAATGACTCTCGTTGTTCATCGCTTGATATGTCTCGCACTCGGAAGAGACAATGAATTATAAACATTTGTTTGTTTATAGTTAAGCACAAAGCTACACACTGGGCTATATGTGCTCTGCCCACAACGGCTATCATAACCCGGTTTATAGCGTTGTATGTACGCTGTACCAATGGAGGGCATTATAGTTGTTATTGTTTGAAGTTAAGCACAAAGCTAAACAAAGGGCTATCTGTGCTCTGCCCACAACGGGTATTAAAACCCGGTTTCTAGCGTTGTAAGTCCGCAGATATACCGCTGTACCACTGGGGGGCTTCATAAACACAATTTAATGATAATTTAACAGAGGCTTAAGAACAAGTTGTTCTTCACTTTGTTTAAAAACGTTCTTGTTAACGTTATAAGCCTGCAGATTTACCTCTGAGACAATGTGGAGAAGTACATAGGAGAAAGTAAAACCTGTTCTATTAATTCTACTAATGGATTGAATAAAATACTTAAAATCATTACATTTTCTAAAAACAATTATTGTGTAAGTTTAATTAGACATAAATCCGGTTTCTTGTAAATCATAAGAATAACGCAAGAAATGATAAATAAACAGAAGCTAAATGATGAATAAACAAAAGCTAACAACATATATTATTATCAGGTACCAAGTCGAAGAGCCACTAACTGAGTTTTTTGTATTGCATATTGGAATATGAAACAAAATATGTTCGTGCTAATAATATCTTAATAAGTAAAAAGCAAATGCATCTTGTATATATAATATGTTTATAAATCCCTCTATCACCCAGCCATCCACTATCCACCATCGCCATGAACGACTTAATAGGGATCTAGATTTTTTCAGGATCTGGGAGGGCCATGTATGAAAAATCCATCTTACCCATCATTATTAGTTTGTTTGTTCTGAATTTCGCGCAAAGCTACACATTTAGCAGTGAAAGACTAAAGGGAAGGCAGCTAGTCACCACCACTCACCGTCAACACTTGGGCTACTCTTTTACCAACGAATAGTGGGAATAACCGTCACATTATAACGCCCCACGGCTGAAAGGATGAGCATATTTGGTGGGATGGGGATTCGAACCCGCGACCCACAGATATCGAGTCGAGCACCCTAACCAGCCAGACTTCATTAAAGAGAAAAGCATACTTTTTGCGTTCGGGTTATTGAATTTTTTGTTTTGTGATCTATATATATATATATTTCTTCCAAATTATAGAAGTGTTATATAAAAGTATTTCTTACGGAACCGCTAAGTCTTGTAAAACTTAGTTTGGAATCAAAATGGCGTTTGTAGGACATGTTCATCGTGAGTTCTTCAGGCTTGATTCGCCAGCTCATCGAAGCAATCTCAGCCTCAAACTTGTAGTGTCTAGAGATAGAAAAGAGATGGAGGTGATTAATAAAGAATACTTATTTTCAGATCAACTTAAGTCTTGATTAAACATTTACTAGTAAAGCATGTTTATTACGTCAAGCAGGATGAGAATCTTTATGGTTAGAACAAAATCTAATGAAAATGTTCTTTCTGAATGGCATAGTTAACAGAGAAAAGGTATAAAGAGAAAAAAAATTGATAATTCTAAATGATATGATTAACGGAGAAAAAAAAAATGAAAAACTCTTTCTAAATCATATAGTTAACATTAAAAACGCCCTCTATAAATGATACGATTAACAGAGAAAAATGAAAAATAAAATAAAATATTTTCTCTAAATGATATGATTAACAGAGAAAAAAAGGAAAAAGTATGTTTCTAAACGATATAGTTAACATAGAAAAAACGCCCTCTATAAATGTTATGATTAACAGAGAACAAATGAAAAATAGAAGAAAACGATTTCTAAATGATACGATTAACAGAGAAAAAAAGTAAATGTTTTTTTTTTCTAAATGATATAGTTAACAGAGATAAAAAAGAGAGATAAAAACGCTCTCTACAAATGATATGTTTAGCAGAAAACAATGAAAAAGACAAGTAAACGCTCTCTCTAAATGACGTGGTTAGACATATCAGATTTCAACGAGACATCACTTCTCAACATTGTTTTTGTTAAGTACAAATATTTCCACCATCGTTCCGTGTGATAAATTATACCGCAACGGTAAAGCATAAGTGTCACGTTGCACAGCGAATTGTACATTGTTATCTGTAACTTCTATCCACACAGATCATCTTCGGAAGATAAAAAATATATAATTGGAAGTCATACTAGCTTTGGATAATCCGCGAAGTGTTTAGAGAAATCTTCATTCAAACTATTATTTCGTTTGACTGGAATTGTGAAGCGAAACGTCACGTAGTTGTACGAGTTTTTTTTTTTTGGTGTCGAAGTATAAGGTTTGGCATTGATAGTAGCGTTGTGTGCCAAATATAAAACCAACGTCGCTCGCAATTTCTGCCTTGTAATTACTGTAAGCTCCACTTACCTTAGAAACACAAATCATGTAATGCCATTATAACAACGGGCCGATATTGACGAAACACAAATCATGTAATGCCATTATAACAACGGACCGATATTGACGAAACACAAATCATGTAATGCCATTATAACAACGGGCCGATATTGACCTATTAACATGAACATTTGTCAGCCGCAACGTAATCATATATAATGTGAAGGTAAACAATTCCGTTGTTTTCATCTAAACTACAAATAAGCGAATACATTTGTTTTATTGGAATAATGAGTCATTATTAGCATTGAAATAATTTCATTACTTCTTGAAATCTGCTCAAGAAAACAAAAATGGCAACTAAGCACGTTTTATTAATAACTAATAAAAAAAACAATGCATATGAAATTATGTTACTATATTTTAATTCACCAATTTAAAAAACAGACACACATGATTTAAGCAATACACGTAGTGTAAGTAAGTTTAGAATTCCTATTAAATCTTTATCTTACCTATATACCAAGATGGAAATTATGGAGAGTACAATCAATAGAGCAGCCAATATTGCAGTAACAATGGCATATTGAGGTGTTTCTGAAATGATAACAGTAACAATGGCATAATGAGGTGTTTCTGAAATGATAACAGTAACAATGGCATATTGAGGTGTTTCTGAAATGATAACAATAAACAACTACCTAGATGGCACTTCAACTTCACTCGGCTTGTTAAAACCAGGAGAATTATATATGTGTGTGTACATAAATTAAATAACTTAATCAATTCATTTACTTCGTAATGCCGAATGCTGTATATTTTTTTTTTAGTTCAAACACTCAAATACGTATTCAAACTTTGAATGAGAACACTAAGCTTGTTAACCCATTGATAATTGCAATAGTAAATGTTGTCATCTAAACCTGAATATTGAAAATAATTTCATAAAAGTTGTTTAAAAAACACTTCTAATAAATTCTATTACAAACTTGAACTTTTTTTTTATTTATTTGTACCTACGATGAAAAATATAAAGAATAATTTGAGTGAATTTTAATTAAAAAAAAAATCTACCTGGACATTCTGAGCCGTCAAACCCACACGGAGGCGTGTCAGGTGGCGGCCCCTGGCGATCACCCGCCCAGTGAATTCTCTTTCCTTCGATGTCGATAAACTGCTTACTGGCGCCATAATACATTGCGACTAGCTAACAATAAAAATATTTCAATTTCATGTCTGGATTGTAATGAACAATGCGCTAGAAAGGAAAATGAGTATGCTTAAATTAAAATTAACGAACAAACGTTAAATTTTCTACAATGAAACAGATTACTGTTTGATTTGTTTTCCTATTTTTGTTGTGGTTAATAACTTTTTTTATTTCAACAACAACAACAACAAAAAGATTTGCATTCAACCGACATAGAGAGCTGTCATAAACTAGGATTTATTTATTATATCAAACTCACTTATAGAAGGATAAATAATCCCGTTTTCCTTGTAACGCAATAACAAAAATATCTTTAGGACATTTAGCATTGTGGGTAAATCGACTGAAAAAAAATACTATACTAAATTTTAATTATTAAATGTTTCTTATTTTCAACTGTCATATTTTTCCCCTAGAATAATTTTTTCAATATCTAGTTCTTACAATTGTTATGAAATGTGTATTAAAGATTTTTCGAATTAATTATAACAACATTAGCAACGAAATAAAATTAATAAAAAAAAACAATATCTGAAGCAGGAAGCTTTTTAAAAATATTTATAATTTTCTGAAACTGTTTTCGGATCCCATAGAAACTTCACCTCAAAGATGCCTGTTTTGGGATTCATGTCCATTAGGGCATAGTCGGCATTTCTGTCTCCATTACTGTTGATGCTGACGTTACCAGTTATTCCTAAATACGAGAAGAGAAAAGCACGTCAGTTTCATTCTTGAGAAGGTCCCGTATGTAATTACCTTTGTATACGGTTTCGAAGAGACAACATCATATGCTGGTACGTTTGAAGTACTTTGATATGATTTTTGGACTGTATAAGTGCAAAGCTGCACAATGGGCTGTTTGGAATGTACACCCCAAAGGTATCGAAACCCGAATTCTGACTTCTAGGCTGTTTTCAGATGACTAAAACAGTACTCGGTTGAAAGGACTCTTTAGGCATAAAGGTTTAGATTTTGGTTTGAAATACTAAATAACGATATTTACAAAACCATCTAAACTGGAAAGTTATTGAACTTTAGGAGCCTAAAGGTAAAATATTTGCAACAATGTATAAAATTTGAGTTTTATACAAACTGATCTCGATTCGTGCTTAGTGACGTCACACTCTGAAGTAAGCAGTAGTCGTTGAGCTAAAGAAAAAACACTTTCGGAACAAAATATTAGTACAAAGCCAAGGATAGTTTCGACTTTCATACGCCATTTTTAGTCTTACAGAGCCAATAACAACAATGGCCTATTTCATCAGCCAATCTTATGTTAAAGTTCAATTTAACAACATACATCGCTCAAGATACGTCGGGCAACAGAATTACTGTATTTTATCGGACTGAAAACAGCATCGCCCAAAATTTGTGGCGAATGTTGTCAATGGCCTTGTATTGTCATGAATTCCAATTTTCTTTGTTTGAAGGTAAGCACAAAGCTACGCAATGGGGTATCTGTGCTCTGCCCACCACGGGTATCGAAACCCGTTTTCTAGCGTTGTAAGTCCGCAAATATACCGCTGTGCCACTGAGGGACCGTTACTTCCGAGAAGAGGTTTAATGAAATAACAGCATTGTCTGGACATTGACGACATACATTTTATACAACCTTTTCTCTACTGTAAGCAAACACTGAGTTTGTCTATAATGAACCAGTAATTTAATTTGCACACTTTAAGTGGAATTACGGTAGTTACTGAGTTTTTTTAATTGCCTATGCTCGATACACCTAAATATTTGCTGACTCGTTCGTTTGCTATAATGAACCAGTAATTTAATTTGCCCACTTTAAGTGGAATTACGGTAGTAACTGAGTTTTTTTTAATTGCCTATGCTCGATACACCTAAATATTTGCTGTCTCGTTCGTTTGCTATAATTAACCAGTAATTTAATTTGCACACTTTAAGTGGAATTACGGTAGTAACTGAGTTTTTTTAATTGCCTATGCTCGACACACCTAAATATTTGCTGACTCGTTCGTTTGCTATAATGAACCAGTAACTTAATTTGCACACTTTAAGTGGAATTACGGTAGTAACTGAGTTTTTTTTTAATTGCCTATGCTCGATACATCTAAATATTTGCTGACTCGTTCGTTTGTTAGTTGGTATGTTTCAAGTTACTGTGTAATGATTCACGAATCCCCTGCTTGTAGAATCACTTCTCTTGATGGTAAGGTTCTGGTCTAAAGATGTGTAAGTCCTTACCTTTCACGAAGAATAACGATACTATACCATTTCGCTTGTAGCTAATTGTTTGGAAAAACTTTGTGTTACATCGTAACTGTCGTTGCACTGCTTAAGTAACGCATGAACATCTTCAGCTAACAGTTCAAGTTTCCTACAGAAAGAAGCGAGGGGGAAACTACGGGGTTCATTCTTCTCTGTGGTATGTTATACCGAACATACAGAGACAAACTAACAGTCATCAATCTACAGTACACGAGAGCTCGAGCTCAAAAGAACAAACATACAATATTTACAATCCGCTCTTCAATAAAGACGCTTATCGATATTTAGGTAAAATACGAGTTTCTTACCAGACATTAATTTTACTTTAAATTTTTGAAATAATATAACAGTAGTAGGAAATCATTATATTTAGGTAAAAATACGAGTGGTCCCCCAGTGGCACAGCGGTATGGCTGCGGACTTATCAACGCTAAAAACTGGGATTTGATACCCGTAGTGGGCAGAGCACAGATAGCCCATTGTGTAGCTTTGTGCTTAATTTTAAACAAACCTAAAATACGAGTTTATTGTCAAACATTAATTTTATTTTCAATTGTTGAAATAATATGAAAGTAGTAGGAAATTATTATTTGGAGATTATAAAAAAAACAATTCAGTTTTTTCTTACTCTCAGCAATAATGGATTACTACTTTCTCCTTGTTTCTTGAATTTTTAACAGTAAACGTTTTTAAACTCGTCACCTTTATTTTATTTTCTTGGCCGAGTTAGCCTGGGGTTAGCGTGCTGGACCATGGATCTGTATGTCAATCATTCCCCTATCGTTAACAAAAATAAATCGCGTTCCTCACTTTGGGGCGATCGGTGCGTTATAAGTGTAACGGTCAAATCGCATCATACGGCCAGACAAAAGTAGCTTTAGAACTGGCGGTGTTTGTTGATGACTTGCTGCCTTCCCTTTAATCCATTAGATAGATCTTAAGCAGCTTTTCCCGAATACCCGAAAACAAACAATTTTTTTTGTGTGCATGTTATTTTAAAAAATATTAATCCTTTTTTAATTATATGAGAAAAAAAAAGATACAGAGAAATCAACTATATCTCTTTTAAACAGCATTTTTATTCAGGGTACTTATAAACGCGTGTAACTAAAATGAAATAATAACATTTATAAGTGAAATACATGTTAGGTTCAGATCAAAAAATAAAAAGACGAAATATTTTCAATCTTTTCCCCATTGGTTCAAAAGTTATAAAATTGAAACTTTTTTTTTTCGGATTATTTTGATCACAAAACATTGACGTTTGTGGACCAGTACTGTTTTTTAGGTCACCTTCGAACGTTCTGTTCCACATTTTTTCTGTGATGACTTGTCCATCTGTAATGTCAAATCCTTCGCTTAGCGTTTCGTTCACCGCCAAAACGTACAAAAGAACAGCTTCATGGACAGCCGTTACAAAGGTGTTCACCTGTTCAAAAATATAAAAAATATTTGGAAATACTCGTCTTGATGTATTAAAAGGAATGTTTCAGTGTTTACGCTGATAAAAATCGTGCATAAAAGTTCAGAAAAATATTATTTTATTGACAAATAACGTTCGAAATATTCTAAAAAGACAAATATTTAAACACCATTAAATATATTATAATAATCTGTTAAAAAACGTAACTTGAATCTGACAAAAATAAGTTCAAGTTTGAAAGGTCTTAGTACCCTGATGGGACTCTCTGAAAACGAACTGGATGATAATTAAATTACTTTTTTACAATAAAGATGAAGGTCAATACTAGCAAGTTCAAAAGTAAGTTTTTGGATGAGATAGTAAATCATGGAACCTTTTTATAAAGAGAAGACAAACTTTTTAGGTTTATATATTTTTAAATAAAATATATTTATGAAGCAAATATAAATAGAAAATATATTCAGTATAATATACATACGCTGTGTATACCATCTGTAGTGTATGCAAATATTGGAGCTCATACACACACACACACACACACATATATATATATATACAGGGTGTCCCAGAAGTCTTGACCCATAAGGAAAATATACATTATATGCTTAAAATTAAACAAACATGATTCTAATGTCAGTTATACGTATTTCAGGAAAGAAAATACCCTGTGGCACAGTATACTAAGAACTGATATGTGTATGACTGTTAATGGCATGCAATTTGAATAATAAATAGATTAAGAATATATTGTGTATTTTTCCCTATGAGTTTAGACTTCTGGGACGCCTTAGACACATAGGGTTTCACTGATGGACTTGAACTTATCGCTGGGGGAAATAAAATGTCTTTCCAAACAGGAATATACATCAAAGAATGTTTAGAATATATCAGAAAAGCTCACACACCAAAGCATTTAAGACAACAGTTGACTCCAAAACCACGCTTCAAGCCAATCCGGATCAACTCTCACCCATAAAGTAAAAGATATGGTTGCAACTAAATTCTTAGTTCCACAAAGGAAATAAAAATAGGCATTGCGATGAAGCTAGACGTAATTAACAAGGTAATAAACAAATACCTAAGACTGAAGAAGACTTACAAGTACCTAGTCATACTTTGGAATCAACGGCTGATCTCTGATGTGAAAGATGGTCGCGAACAAACAGGAATTACAACGAGCACGTATGATAAAGTACTTGTCAAGTCTTCACATGAAGCTTTAATGGAAGCCTAAATCCTACTGGGAAAACTTGTTAAGATTTTTATGTCTAAGACTGACCTTTCGGTTCTTTGTAGAGGCAGCTTGTTTCATTGATAATTGCAGCATCCGACAGTAGTATGTAATCATGGCGACCAGCTCGAGCAAGATCGGCAATGTACGAACTACAGTTCCGAAATAGTACGGAACCTGGGACATATTTCTATAACATACGATTAACTCTCAATGGTTACACACACACACACACACACACATATATATACTAAGGTTGAGTACGTTATATATATACCATGTCGTTACAGTTCGTGTCGCCATGTCTGGTCATGCTCTATCTCATGATCGTGTATCTTGACAATAGTTCTCCAGTATGGTTTCCATTGCAAGTCTCCGTCGTAAGACTACTATGTCCAAAGCATACCACTTCTCCCTGCATGGTTTCCATAATACATGTAGTGTACGAGGACGATGGTTTCCCAACACCCGTTCCAATAGTCAGATTATACAGAAATCCATTGCCGCTGTATCTGGGTGCTTGACTAATATGCCTTCATATGAAATAACATGAATACCATGGAAGTAATTTATGTACATATGACTTCTTGTTAGTTTTTCAGATGGAAATTATTCTTGATTATGTTCTGCAGTTGCTTAGGGATGGTGGGCAGCTATTGTCTGAACTATATTTTCAAGGATTCTTATCTATTACAAAACACCGCATTTTGGTTACCATGGCTGGGGTAGGTACATCTTTTTGCAAGTCTCTATCTCGTTGGTCCCGGTGGCCTAGGTTGATCCACATGGCTTAATTTTTAAATGCCATCAAGTACAAGTGATACCACTTTTTAGAAATTTGAAATCCCCGATTTTAACACATCTTTATAATCTGAGTGTTTGAATATTTTACGTCGGAAAGGACTGTTACATACCTTTTCCCAAATCGTTTGTGTTTCGGTGTTATTACTCTACCTATAAAACCTCAAACAGTGTCAAAATATAGTTCTGATACATATCGTTTCATCACCTGATTATATCGGCAAAAGTTGTCCTTTGACATTCTTATTTGCATATTCACATTAGTTTTAATATAACGTACTCAACCCTCTGTATACATATATACATATACTTATTTATTTGTTTAAGTCGAAAAATATTTTCATTTTCATATTTATGCCCAAATTTTGGAATAGGGTAGTTTTAAATGTAAAATACTAAAATCAGTAAACATATTAACTATTAATGTTTAAAAAGTAAACTCTCTAACTCAGCAACAAACAAAAACTATCTCGGAAATATAAGGGCAATTAAAACGTCATGCAAATCAAAATATCTTAGTTAGAACATGCTGTATAAAAGGGCTCGGCATGGCCAGGTGGTTAGGGCTCGGGTTCGAATCCCCGTCCTACCAAAAATGCTCGTCATGCTCGTTATAATGTGACGGTCACTCCTACTATTCGTTGATAAAAGAGTAGCCCAAGAGTTGGAGGTGGGTGGTGATGACTAGCTGTCTTCCCTCTAGTCTTTCACTGCTCAGTTAGGGAAGGCTAGCGCAGATAGCTCTCGTGTAGCTTTGCGCGAAATTTAAAAACAAACAAAACTGTACAAAATACCTTTAACAGCGAGAACAGAAAGCAACGTAGTTTCCTTGGGAAATAGTTTTAGTTCCAAAGTTATAAAAATAATGTAAAGAAGGAAAATTACACGTATCTGGTGTAGTCTTATAATTCTATTGCATAAATAAGTGACTGGTACCTTTAACTAAGCTACAGTGACTTAAGTAATAACCAGTCAATTACTATAGTTTATAACGTAATGTGTAACAAATAAATGAGGCTATAAGCCTAAAGTTAATAAATTCTCGCAAACTATCGACTTCGCCTTTAGGTAATTTAATTTACTTGTATTTCATACACAACCTCTTCCGTTCCATAGTCGAATCCAAATTCCTTCCAGGCAATATTTTTAACTTCTCTAGAAAACTCAGCATATTCGGGAGTTTCTGGAATTGGCGCCGTCACGGTTAAAAGGGATTCGAATGCCTTTCGAGCACGTTGGTTTTTCTCAGGGGTATCTTCTTCTCGATGCCAGGGTTTCTGGCTTTCACTTTTACTGAAATACAGAAAACATAAAAGGTATATTTTTAATACAATTTATAACTTTTTTCTTTCTATTTCCACATATGAATAATTTTATAAACATTGTCGACGAGGACGAACAAGAGGGAGGCCGTTATTTATCTCGTCCCCCCCCCATAGAACAGCGGTAAATTTAAGGATTTACAACTCTAAAATCCGAGGTTCGATTCCACGCGATGGACACAGTAGATAACCTATTGTAGCTTTGCTCTAAAACAAACAAACGGATTTACCACGTCACAAAAAATAAGTGAATTTCAGTTGATCATTTTTGCTTCGTACCTTTTTACCTGTATATATTAAAGTCATTATTTATATTTACAAAAACAAAAGGGAATCCTCAATAGCCGCGTCATTTGAAATTCTTCTAGGCATGATTAGAGTAAATTAATCTATGAGACCTTGGGCGTGATCAAATACACCAATCGAAAGAGCTTGACCTCCTGATTCGAAAACTGTAATTAAATCTCAAATCGGTCAAAAGATGACGGAGCTAGGAGCTAAAAGTTTCTACTTGAAAAAACAAGTCGCAAAAGTTTAACTGATCTGCATAATTCGGCAATAATGTAGCAAACACAAAACAGTCTTAACTTACGATAATACGTCCACTTAGATCTAATATTTTATTTTCATTTTAATGCTCCATGGAATTATTATCCGTTTACTTTATTACATATAGTCACTTGGAGGGTTAGGGATAAGTTAAGGATTACAGTGCTAAGATTCGGAGTTCGGTTCCCCGCAATCGATTGAACATAGAAGGGGTACTGTGTAGCTTTGTGATAAAACATACAAACCAAACCAAGTATTTATATTTCTTGCGTTTGAAGTTCTTATGTCATGCTGTGTTGTAGCCTAGAGAGTTCATAAATCTTCTCGTGATTCATGGCATGCGCACGTTTTATTAACGTTACGACAGAACAAATTGAAAATTAAACGTCCCTTATGTGACATCATTTTAGCGTCTACTGACTGACTGACAGACAACACACCGCTGTAAATGATGCGAATGGTAATGAACAGATATAATACTTCCATTACTCCGTGTTGTAAGTTTAGTGTTATTAAAAGTACAAAACTAAGTAAATGTTGTGTATATTATTTACATACTATAAGCAGCTAAGTGCATACAGTTAGACACGCGTTAATGTGTCCCGAGCTCAGAGATTCCTTTAGCGTAATCGCGAACATTTGCTACGTGACTATGTGAAATTCAGGCGAGTTAGCGAATCTCTGAAGTTAACATTTATCAAACATAATATCATTCGCTTCGGAAACTGAAAGTCTACTAAATACAGAGTTTGGTAACTGGAATTGAGTGTACGCTATACAGATCTAGATACAAAATATATAAAGCACGTGCTGGAACACGCTGACTTTGGTTTTACACAAATAAACTTGTAAATATAAACAAGAAATAGAATGTTTTACGAATCAAATGAGGCATAGCTATCAGCGTGCGTGTTTATCTTCTTCAGTGGTCAAGAAATTAGCACACATATTAGCACAAAAGTTACTTTCAGGATCGTACAAATAAAATCGCAAGAATCGAAAACAATTGTTTGATTGTTGTTAAGAGTAAAGATGCGCAATGGACCATCTGAGCATTTTGTTCTTATATTGTTAAGAGCAAAAGTGCACAGTTGGCAACCTGCGCTAGAACCACCACAGGGATAGAACCTCGATTTTTAACGTTATAAGCCTTCGAACTTTCCAATGAGTTATCTAAAAGAAACGTAGTATTCCAGTGCTGTTTACATTCAAGAATTTGTTCATCATAAATATACTTTAGAAAAGACAATGCCTCTAGGAATATTATACCTGGAATATGTACACAAAATAATGCTCTCCAGTGGCAAGTCTGCAGTCTTATGACGCTAAAAACCGGTTTTCGATGTTCGTAGTGAGCAGAGCACAGCTATTCAGCCCATTGTGTCGCCTTGTACTTAAGAGCAATCAACAAAATCACAAAATAATATTTTTCTTTAAATATGCACACATATGGAGACAGTGTTTCAGACAGTATCTGTACTTGGTTGCTGAAACAAAATTTACAACAGAGAATTTTATCTGTATACACTTTTCCTTTAGTTTTAACAATTACCAACTTACAAAAACACACCATCTAAGAATGGACGGAACGAGGGTCACACCCACTTTGAGGTTGCACTGTGTCAAAAAACCACCAAGTGTTGTAGTTTTATCCTGCCCATTCCTACCTTGTTTTTTTAGTTTTTGGTGCTCCCATTCCCACTTCCTAATTTATTTGTTTATTTAAAATTTTTTTACACTTGACTCATAGCTTTTTTTTTAGAGTAACTGGGCTCTAGGCAAATCCTTCTCGTAGCTTTTCTTAAAGCTATCTTTCGACATTTCCTGGCTTTTGTTGATATCTCTGCTATAGTTTTTCTTCCATTCTAGCCAGGATGACAGCATTTTCTTTGGCTGGATTAATGGCTAAGGCTTGTTTCGCATAATCAACATTACAGTTTCTAACCTTATCTCTATTCTTGAAGTTTTCATCATAAGAATTTCTCCTTTTCTCTCGTTTTGTTTCACTGAAAGGCATATTTTAAAAATTGCACTGTTTCAAATACAACCATAGATGTCAACAGGTCAAACTTAGTTTGGAAACAATGCAAAGGTAAGCTATGCAATTTATGTTCTTGTTTTCAGTCCAGAGTGCTTGAGCAAAGCCGTGTCAGACTTCAGCAGTGGTAGCGTTCATCCCCACGTCTTAGGCATTGACTGCTATGATAGAATTGCTTTGTCCAAAACAGAACCTTCGAGTCAAATGTATAGAACTGAAACTTTGCTGTCAAAGGTTAGATCATAGTTAGAACCTAGATCTAGTGAATCAACGTAGTCCACGTTTTTCATCTAGCTGATACAGCTGCAGGCTGATAACGTAGTGCATATGCATGAGAAATCGTGCACCTGCACGTGATATGAGAGTGGATTGTTACTTGGTAACTTACAGAGCGTGCTTGCAATCATAGAATATGATTACTAGTGTATTGTTAACTCGTTATTAGTGTTGCAAAATGGTTATTATTATTATTACCAAGGTTATAAATGAAACTAAGAAAAACACTTTTAGCCAAGGTAGTGTAATTCAGTCATGTGCATTTAGATTTGCATAAGGTGAAGGCAGGAGAGAGCTATGCCTTTCCAACAACGTTAGTCAGTCAGGTAGTCAGATTGACAAATTTGTGGTTTTGTGAATTTTTTGTTTTTACTCTACCGACTTTCTCAAGTACTTTGATGACTTTTTACTCTGCAGTTGGTTTGTTTAAAACTCAATAGTGTGTGTGTGTGTAAAGCGCTTTGTTTACATGCTGTTTGCAGTGTGTTTGAGATTTTAATTTGTACTGCACATCTGGCCCATTTGTACTATAAGTACAACGTACTTATGATAAACTTTCACTGTTATAGTAATAGTTATAATTATAGGAAGAGGTTTTGGTCTTTACCTTTATTTATTAACAAACCTTTGAGAAGAAGAAACAACAACACTGTTAGTTGAACACAACACGTAACCCAATATCTATTGCTATTTTTGATATTGTTGTCTTTCTCTACCTTGACCCTTGATGAATGATTCATATTCCTGGGATGGACCACAGAGTTTGTTCAGAGGGTGCTATCTAGTGAATCTGGTCAAAGTTAATGAAAGTTTCTAGTCAACTCTTCAAGTGTAGTAGTCTGCACATACCTAATTGGCACGTTACTACTGGTAATAAGTACTTCAGAACTGCAACAGTAACATGTTACCTGTCTTTCTACTGGTTAACATAAAATAGTTTAAAAAATTAGATTCAGTTTAGAAAATAAGAGTTAGAAGAATAACAATAAACAACTAAAGTAAAAATGGCATTCTTCTGGTTCACAAAATCGTAGTAGTAGTTCCAAGATTATACGATTCTCAGTTCGACCCACCTTCACTGCTGTGTGTTAGTCAATACGTAGGTTGTATGTCAGCGTGCTTTGTATTCATACAAGCAGTAGTTACAATATCATACAAGCAGACATTTGTCACAAAAAATGCTCAGAACTACCGCAGATAAAATAATAAACATGCTGAAAGAGAAAATGGTTTTTATTGTCTATACTCATTCATTAAAAAAAAAGGATGGCTTAATATTGTCGGACATTCAAAGCAAAAATCTTAGCATGTTTATAGACTATCATGACTTCATTATGAAACTTTAGTTTTGATTGGGTACTTGATGACATCATCAATATGGCGACTAGAGCAAATTTTGCCGATTTGGGATACCAACTTCAGTCAACCATTTCTTTTCTGTGCACTGTTTGTTCAGCATACTTTGCCATTGGATAGCCTATACTAAAGGTAACAAAATCAAAATATGTATCACTAAAATGTTTGATCATTACTAATTGAGAATTCATTCAATGTATCTTTAGTCAGTGCATAACCTACTTCAGAGAATTCGTCTATTGCAATAGCAAGCAAAAAGGTTTTAAAAAAGAAATCACGTTCGGAGCTCCTTCCCAGTGACATAGTGGTAAGTTTGTGGACTTATAACGCTAAAAATCGGGTTTTAATACTTGTGGTGGACACAGCACAAGTAGCCCATTGTTGTAGCTTGGCGCTTACCCACAAACAAACAAAGCATTGCGGAAGATTCTTTCATTATTCGAATTCCAATTGGAATCATACAAAATAACGCTTACTACTTTTAAGTCTGATTTCGTCTGTCAATGTTTCAACTGTCTGGTTCGTGAACGTAAAGTTTCTTTCATTTAGTTATGGTTTGGAATAATTGTTTGATTGTTTTCCAATTCTGCACAAAGCTAATAGAGGGCTATTTGCGCTAGTCGTCCCTAATTTTGAAGAGATAAACTAGAGGAAAGACAGCTGCTAGTCAACACCAGCCACCGCCAACTCTTTGGCTACTCTTTAACAAATAATAGTGGGTTTTACCATCACATTATAACGATCTCATTGCT